AGATTCAATCTCAAACAATTTGATCCATCTCCACTTACGATCTCTCTTGCCATTGGCTTTATCAAATTTTTCCCATTTATATTTACTTTTAACAAAAAAGTGGAAACAATGATAGCAGCTTTCATTAGTGTATTTTTCAATTTGCTTTGCTACACGCATGAATCTTATTATTTTATTGTAATATTGTCCTCTAGCAAAAATTAAAATTTAAGAATAAGTTGAAGGTAAAGAGAGATTGATAAAAGCATAAATAGAACTTCTAGGAAGCGTAATTTTGAATAAAGTAGGGTAGAAGCGTTTTAAGAATTCAAGATCTCTTTTGCTATTACAATTTGTAATTTTTTTTCATTTACTTCTATCTTTCCATTTAACTTACATTCTTCTCATTTTTATTATTGCAGGGATAAATCTGCGTCTTGTTGAATTATAAACTTTGTCTGTAAAATGATTTTATCTTTATGGTTTAAGATACAATGAAAATGAATATTTTGCCCATAAAACATGATTTTGATATAAGCTATATAGCTATTATAGGGTTTAGATTAAACAATACAAACTTGTGTTCATTTTGTATGTAGCTGATTTAGAACGTTTGAAATGGTTTGAAGTTTGGAACGTTCCTGGAGCAAATTTTAAAAAATAATTTGTCCCATTTCTAGCTTCGCATAGAGTAACTCATAAGTGCCATAAACATAATATAAAATATTTCCATCAAAAACGCGTCGGAAGGAATCCTTTTGCTCGATAAACCATCCTTCCAGTCACACTTAAAAATTCTATATACGCCAAGAATTATTTGTTCCACATTTCTATCTTTGCAAAATATTATAAGAGGAATTTGTATTTCCTCTTACTTCTAAGAGGAAATACAAATAGTATAGTACTTCTTATAATATATAAGGTATAATTATATTAATACATTTGTTTGACACAAATAATTTTCAGGAATTGTTCAAGTTCTTGAATTTTTGTTGCAAAACTAAAAACTGTCAACTATCTATTATTTTTGTCTATATAGATACAGTTTTATTAGAATATCGATAAATCTCATAATGCGCTTTATATTCTATTCTGTGTAATTTTTTACTTACGAGAGATAGAACTCCGTTGCGTTCATCTGTTGACGGTACTGCGTCGGTGTTACCACGTTTAGAATGTAAACTAGAAGAGATCAAAGATAGGAATTGTAAACTTAATAATAGTAATAAAGGTTTACATTCAATTTCAGTGGAACAAATAAAATTAAATAGCACAAAAAAACTGGCAGATTTAAGAGAAGACATTTAGTAAAACAAACGTTTTAAGTAAAACAAGCTTTGGATGACGATAAAAATGAACACTAAATACGATTATCGCGATGATTGAAATACTCGAGAAGTTGAATCCGACTTTGAACTATATATTCTTGCCTGCATTTTTTGCAACTGCTCTGGATTCTCCAATTAAACCTTGACAAATGAATTCATGACAGTTATGACAGCTCACGACGTTGACGAAGGTATGGACCAAGCCCAGAATAAGTAGTACGTTTAATGCGATCATGATTTGCTTTTCGTTGCGATTGTACAAAGAACGTTTATCTTTTAAAGCATGCTACACACTAAAATGCGACCGATTAATACTTACCATTTTCTTCAATCATAACTAGCGATACGAATCTATTAATGACCGATGATCACGTTTAATTATATTACGTTACTTTTAAACAAAACAGGAAACAATACTTAATTAAAACCGCAAGCAAAAGTATAATCTGATGATTACGGTGTGTCTATCGATTAAAACAATATGATTGCTCGGATAACACGGATGTATATATTTATTGCGCGATAAGCGATGTTATGAAGCGATTAAATACACGATATACATACGTGACACATATTTCAAACAAAAATATTTAATCCGGATCATTTTATTTATATTGTACATTCTACTTTCTAGCAGACAAAACTGAATCAATTAGAAAATCTTTTTTAGAAATCATTATAATTGTTATTGGTATAGATCTTTATCTCTTTATTCTATTTAAATTTAACCGTAATTTATAGTTATGTAAATAGAATAGTTCAATATACAAAATTATGTAAAAATAATTATTATTACTGAAATTGAAATGTATAT